AAGCTTATCCCATATACAGATCTCTACATCTTGTTGGGCTTCGCTTCCTGTCAACTTCAGTCATCCAGAGAAGATAGGAATTGAAATTATTTCTGAACTAATCTAAGTTGTTTGTTCCAGTTTTCCAGTAGTATTTCTCTTAGAATATTTTCTTTATTGCCAAATGACTTTTGCAGAATTTTTAAATGATTAAAACAATCCCACAAATTATATTTGTCTTGAGCAGAAGTGGTGATTATGTAGTCCTCCAGCAGATAATAATAATAATAATAATAATAATAATAATAATAATAATAGCAGCAACAACAATAATTTGTTTACTGTGGGACTTTCGAATACAGACTGACAAAGTTTTGGAACACAGTACACCAGACATAACAATTGTGGAAAAGAAAAAAGTTTGGATTATTAATGTCGCCATACCGGGTGACAGTCGCATTGAGGAAAAACAACAGGAAAAACTCAGCCGTTATCAGGACCTCAAAATCGAACTGCAAAGGTTCTGGCATAAACCAGTACAGGTGGTCCCAGTGGTCATCAGCACACTAGGTGCCATGCCAAAAGGCATTTGGAAACAATAAACATTGACAAAATCACGATCTGTCAACTGCATAAGGCCACCTTACTTGGATCTGTGCACATCATTCGAAAATACATCACACAGTCCTAGATGCTTGGGAAGTGTTCGACTTGTGATTTCGTGATACGAAATCCAGCATGTAGATCTCGTCTGCTGTGACATACTATGGTTTTGTTTATATCTACCACCTTCTCCCAGAGGGACTTGGGGAGGCTCAGAAAACATTCAAGGTATGGCATGAAAAATACAACAACACTTGAGGCTCATGTATCAGTGGTGGCTGGGAGGGATTTCGCACAGTTAAAACTTGTGTGCCAGCTGCGACTGTACCTCAAGAAGCCTGACTTAGCCATGGTGGTCTATGCCTTAATTACATCCAGAATGGACTATTCCATCCAGAATGGACTATTGTAAAGCACTCTACATGGGGCTGCCTTCAAAGATGACTCGGAAACTGCAGCTAGTGCAAAGAGCAGCAGCCAGAATATTATCTGGATTCTGGAGCAAGCTTTAGGGAGCATACCACTCCCTTTTAAAGCAGCTCTACTGGCTCCTAATAAATTTCCAGGCCCAATTCAAAGTGCAGATAAAGCCCTATATGCTGCATCTCCTTCTATGAACTGACGTGGGCATTAAGATCTGCTGTGGAGGCCCTTCTTTCGGTCCCACCTTTGTCTCAAACATGGTTGGTGGGGACGAGAGAGGGGGCCTTCTCGGTAGTGGCTCCCTGACTCTGGAATACCTTCCCTAAAGAAATTACATTAGCCCCCTCTCTTCAGGCCTTCTGCATGAGTCTAAAAGCATGGCTCTTCAAACAGGCATTTGATCCTGAGTAATCCATAGCTAATGTGATGAAACATTTATAGTACCGGCCCGCACTTTGATTGATTGCTATGACAGATAGCTGGCCCACAGGTTCCACTGCGTTTTAGGAGTTTTATAATTTTCAAAATTTTATAATTTTATCAATGAGATTTTTATGTGCTGTTGATTATACTTATGCCATTGTATTTATAATTATGTATTGTTGTCTGCATGTGGCACTTGGAGTGCTTCTGTGAGCCCCGAGATGGTGGCGGGGTACAAATAAGGATGATGATGATGATGATGATGGTTATTATTATTATTATTAAGTGCAAAACAAAACATAAGAGTAGACAATAAACAATCAACACAACATCATAAATTCACAGTAGCCTCTGGTAAAAACTATAAAATACAGCAATTGCTGTAGATAAAACAGCATTTCCCATGATCTCCCTACATTGGCTGTGCTGTCTAGGGATGATGGGAGACAAAACCCAACAAATTTTGGAGGTTGAGCTACATGTTTCTTACCTGTGCACCAGAGCAAAGTTTGAAATAAAAGAAATAATGGTGTAAGTACTGAATAGAGATATTTCTTTCTCACCATTTTCATTCCTCTCACAAACTCTAGCCTGCTACTAAAATGCCATTGAGACTACTTTCAAAAGTGAATGTCTGTTGAAATGGTGTCTAAATTCTAAATGCCACATTGCCTTGATAGCTCAGTAGTTAATGTCACCATCAATTACACTGCTCCTTTAGTTCTTCAGAACATTGATGCGTGCCTTGAACTATAATGTCCTCCTCCTATAGGCTGATTGGAGAGGTATACTGATGGAGTTGCTCTTTTGGAGACACAAGGAAGGAAATGGGATTGTGCCAGATGGAATCCCCATTGCTGACTGAAGAACACAGATTTCCCTAAAATTTGGAGGAAAGCAAGAATCATAGCCATTTTGAAACCAGGCAAAGACTGCATTGATCCAAAAAGCTATAGACCAATTTCCTGTTGTACCATCTCTATAAAGTTCTGGAGAGACTTATTTTGCATAGAATTATGGAAAAAAATGTATGATTCCACAGCAAGCTGGTTTCAGGAAAGGCAAAAGCTGCACATCACAAGTGTTGAAACTGACTCAACACATAGAAGATGGTTTTGAAAGGCAGCAGATTACAGGCTCTGTCTTCATAGACCTGTCAGCAGCATATGATACTGTAAATCATTGCCTTCTCCTCAGAAAAAAATTATAATATCACAAAGGACTACCACCTCACCCGCTTCATAGGAAATCTGCTACAAAACAGGAGCTTTTTGTTGAGTTCCAGGGCCAGAGAAGCAGATGGCGAAAACAGAAGAATGGCCTGCCTTAGAGAAGCGTGCTTGCTCCATCAATATTTAACATTTACACAAATGACCAGCCACTGCCAGAAGGTAAAGAGAGTATTATTTAAGTTGACGATCGTGCCATCACCGCTCAAGCAGGGAGCTTTGAAATGGTTGAACAGAAGCCCTCCAAAGCTTTAGGTGCTCTTACTGACTACTACAGCTGATTCCTAATCCATTCCAAATCCATCAAAAATGCAGAGGTGTGCTTTCTATCTTAAGAACAGACAAGCATCTCGAGCTCTGAGGATTACCTGGTAAGAAATCCCACTGGAGCATTGCAGTACACCAAAATACATGGGAGTCACTCTGGACCATGCTCTGACTTATAAGAAGCACTGCTTGAATATCAAGCAAAAAGTGGGTGCTAGAAATAATATTGTATAAAAGCTGACTGACACAACCTGGGGATCACAACCAGATACAGTGAAGACATCTGCCCTTGCGCTTTGATACTCTGCTGCTGAATACGCATGCCCAGTGTGGAATACATCACCCCACATTAAAACAGTGGATGGGGCTCTCAATGAGACATGCCACATTGTCACAGGATGTCCATGCCCCACCCTACTGGATAAATTATACTGTTTAAGTGGTATTGCGCCACTTGACACCTGTTGGGAAGTAGCAGCCAATAATGAAAAGACCAAGGCAGTGAAATCTCTGGTCCATCCTCTGTCAGCCAGCATGCCAATGGCTTAAATCAAGAAATAGCTTCCTAAGATCGAGAGAGATACTTGCAGGAACACCTCAGCAAGTGAGAATCCAAAAGTGGCAGGTTAAAAGCCAGCACCTTACTCAGTGGCTGAGACCGGATGAGAAACTCCCCTCTGGGCAGACAGAAGACTGGGCGACCTGGAAGGTGCACCATGAGATGCAGAGCTAAGCTTAAGAAATGGGCTACAAAGTTAAGTCCACGACATGCGAGTGTGGAGAAGAGCAAACCACAGCCACTTACTATAATGTGGTCTGAGCCCTGCCACATGCACAATGGAGGACCTTATACAGTGACACCAGAGGCGCTCCAAGTGGCCAGCTTCTGGTCAAAGGACAATTAACATAATGCCAAGTTTTTAAAACTTTGTGTTTTTAAATGCATTTTAATTGTAGCCTCAACTTGCTTCTGATATAATAAATAAATAAATAAATAAATAAATAAATAAATAAGTTGTGGGTAGTAGGCTTATATTGGCTTGTCTCCCCAGGCCTTCTTATTCCTCCTGCTCCATCTCTATAACCTTTCAGGCTTGGTCAGAAGAACATCATGAGGCTTTTTGCTAGTGTAATGGGAAAGCCAGATACATTCTCTACAATGATGCTTGACCTTGAGGCTCAACACTCCTCTGGCAACAGCGGATGGATGTAGGAATGGGGGCTAATAGTTCAGAGTTCCTTTGGTCAATCTTATCTGGAGGTTTGAACAGTATTCCTTCTGTGTGCCCAGATGAATGGTTCTTATACCAGGCTGAAGTGCAAAAGATGCCAGTGCGTGGTATGTGGGGTTGCTATCTATTTGTGGCATGGGGCTTGTCACATCACCCCAGGCCTTATGTGACAAGCCCCATGCCTATGTGACAATAGCACAGAATAGCAGCAGCGCTGTACAAGCAGTGACTTCTGCTGGGTTCTCTGTCACTGGCATGAGTGATGGCTGGAGTAATGCAGTGCAGCACTAGCCCTGGGCAGAAGAGACAACGAAGCACACAGAATAGGGAAGCCCAGCTGAATATTCTCTTCAGGAGGATTCACTGCTGAAGAACATCCCGTTCTCTTCACTTCAGACATTTCATGGCTTTGGTGAGGAAATGGGGGCAACCAAATGCTCCTATCAGTCCTGCCTCTAATATTTGCAAAAGGTCAGGTAGAAGGCTTGTATATCTAGAGAATCACAAAAGAACCCACCTCTGGTTGAACCAGCTAAAGGATTTTATTAGCAAATTAAATACAAATGGTAAAAAAACCCCACTATTCTTCCCAGTCAGTAGTGGTGTTGGTTAAAAGTGTAGCTATACCTTTTCTTAGAGGTAGTAAAAGTTACTTTTTCCAGATTGCACTATCTGTGTTGGGTGGAGAATTCCTTAGCTGAGCAACTGAGGAATGGACATCAATGAGATGCTGTGGTTTTTTTTTGTGAGTGTGTGTGTATGTGTAGATTTCCCCTCTGGAGAAAAAAGGACCCGGGGTAGAATAGCAAGGCTTGAGCCCTTTACAGTGGAAGACCGCTGTGAGTGCACAAGTGGAAATCTTTTATTCATATATCCAAAGGCAGAAGTGTTGCCATAGAAACACAGCATGTCCCTTTTGCCTGCTGGGAAGAGGACTCCTGATTGTCGTCACAGAAGGGCTGGTGTCCACGTGGCTCAGGAAGGTGTGGAAAATGGGACCATTGCATAGGGGGCTTGCTATTGAAAGAGGAAAACAGCACGTTAGTCAATTCTATATTTATCTCTATATTCAGGGAATTCTTGAACAGTAACTCAATGTGTTACTGAAGAAGAGGCTATTTCCTTAAATAATAGCCATAGGGCATAAGGGTTAATTTAGTAAAATGTTCTGATTCTTGGGACACACTACCACTATTGGGCCATGTCTTTGTGAAAAGCTTGTTCTGTTCATTCTGAAAGTAACAAATAATTTCTGTTTCTGCTCCCACCCTGCTAAAACACAGGCATTGTGTTGTTTTCTGGAACAATGGAGGATGATTTTTTGGAAAGTACTTCTAGATGGATTCTGGTTGCACTAAAGGAACACAAATGTCAAATTTGTCCAAAAACAAACAAACAAAAAACAACAACAAACAGATAATTTTCCCTAGCTAAGTTTTGCTGTCTGGACTTCCTGTGGTGCTCAAACATAATCCCTGTCAATCTAGAGAGTACAGAATGGAGCAACATAATTTAAGAGTAAAGGTAAAGGTTTCCCCTTGACATAGTCTAATTGATTTTGACTCTGGGGTGGTGGTGGTGGTTCTCATCTCTCTTTCTAAGGCAAAGAGCTGGCAATGTCCTTAGATGTCTCTAAGATCATATGGCCAGCATGATTGCATGGAGCACCGTTACCTTACTGCAGAAACAGTATCGATCTCCTTACATTTGCATGTTTTCAAACTGCTAGGTTGGCAGACTCTGGGGCTAACAGAAACCGGGTCTCACACTGTTCCACGGATTCAGACCGCTGACCTTCTGATCAGCAAGTTCTGCAGCTTTGTGGTTTAACACGCTGTGCCACCATGGCCCAGCATAATTTAGAAATATTTTTTAAAATAACTTTTAAAAACTTTGATCATATTAGAGTGGAAATTCTTGATTTATTTTCAGATTCTGGACAGTCCTCCTATTAGACTAGGAGTTGAATTCTGTTGGTGACATAGACTGGTTTATTCTGGGTTATGCCTATATATGTCACTTCATGGAGTTGACAGAAACGGGTATTCCCTTCTCCTTTAATAACCTCCCTCTGCCTCATGAGGAAGGCAATATTCCTGGCCATTTAGCAGTTACCGGAGGATGACAAAGGATAGCACTGCAATAGCTGGCTGCGCTTTCTTCTCTGGATCTGCATGTATTAAGTGGAGATTCAAAAAAGCAATATCTTCACTCATTGCCAGGCTGTAAAATTGCATCTGGATGCTATTCCAGCACTCTCTTGAATACTAAACAGCACTAAATAGCCGTAGAGGCACACATCCCATTATTGTCGCAGTGTTACGTTTTGCAAGCTATATGTAGAGTGTCCTCTTTAATGTTCCATATTTTTAAATCTCTTTTTTTCCAAGCAACCCCTCCTCCCTGAGATTATTTTAATTAAAGGATGATTGTAACACACACATGTGCTATCATACTGAAATGTATGTTTTGTGTGTAAGCTGCTCCGAGTCCCTTAGGGGAGATGGTGGCGGGATACAAATAAAGTATTATATTATTATTGTATTTCTTAATAGGACCCCCCATTGGTGCAATGAGTTAAACCCTTGTACTGGCAGGACTGAAGTCTGACAGGTCAGAGGTTCAAATCCAGGGAGAGTGTGGATGAGCTCCCTCTATCTGAAATTGAGTATTTATATTGGACATGCATTTTTCAGGATGGGCAACTTGTGGCTTTTCCAATGTTCTCGGACTACAACTTGCAATATTATTAGCCAGAATCATAAATGGTAATGGCTGATGGAACCTGTAATCAAAAAACATCACCTGTTCTACAAATACCTTTCCCATTCTATAGTTATTTTTAAGAGACATACAATATCTACGTTAGTTTTGCCTTTGCTATTGATCTTAGTGGCCTGATATAAATCCCAAAATGTTTATTTAGATAATATATAGTTTCTGCAATGAATCTGTCATGTTTACTTATTTTCTAATCTGATCTGAACAACCCCCTTTGATTATTATGCCAAGCATAACTTCTAAACCAATGTTTCTGCTTTAGTGCAGGATTTGGAAATGTTTAGTTCTCTGCGGAGAACTACAGATCCTCCAGGTACAGAACATTGACTTCCATTGCCTAAAGGCAGCGATGGGGATGAGGATAATTGTCATCCAAAACACCACTTGGTCACAGGTTCCACATCCCTGATTTAACAGTATCTATAGGAAAAATAATGTGTCCCAGGCTGGTTGCATGGCTCTCTAGACCTACATCTGCATTACTATTTACCTAATTGTTGCCATAACTACTTAAAAACCTATTGGATTTAGAGAAGTTGCTGGGTCAGCAGTACTACCTCCCGTTGCTTTTTCATTTGGTGTGAAAGCCAGGCCACTCATGTCATGTGCAAATTAAATAGGACTGATAGAGCCTGTATCAGTGTCAGCCAGAGCTGGAAGCAATGATCAATTTTCTTGGTAGGTTAATCAACTAAGGCTTCCGTTGCACTTCAGATTTGCAGTCTGATTAATTGGTAGAGTTAATATTGAAAGAGAACCACAGTGCAGATGGCAGACACTTACCAACTCCTCCTCTGTGGAAATGAGCATATGAACATATAGATCTCCCCCTCCCAATTTGTAGCAAGTAGACTATATACTTTCAATACATTATTCAAACGGTTATTTTTGTGTTCTGTTCAGCCCACAGTGATCAGATGAAACCAGTGCCAGCATGTCTATTAAATTGCAATGTTATGCAGTACTACTAAACTGTATAAACTTGTTGCATTTGGTTAACTCTAATATGAGTAACTTTTACCTTTGCCGACTTTGAGAAAACTCCACAATGGAGAAGGTGACCCTTGCTACTCCTTGCCTACCTTTGCTTTTGCTGCAGTTGCAATCCTAGCCCCATCTTTGTGTCCCTGAATCTAAGAACCATGCAGGATTCCTCCTCTAAATGCAATGAATGTTTCTGTCTGTGAATCAGTCAGGCTCACAATGAGTCTGGCGGCAGATGCAGTCTTGACCTAAAAGGGGTTTGCTTGAGCCCATTAGGCAGCTGGCGTAATTGCTTGCCGTAAACCACTGATGCTGGCAGATTCCTCTCTCCACTGAATGCCACAAGTGATTTGTGAAGCATGTTTCCTTCCCAAGGGCAACTCGCGTCCTGCAGGCAAATTGTTTTTCAAATGTCAGCAAAATCTTTGGAGAAATGACAGCAGCTAAGGGAAAGCCTCCTATGTTTGTCTTCAAGCCTTTCAATAATGAGTTGCAAGAAGATTTAATCCCTCCACTGTCACCCAAGTGGTGAGGCGTAAGGACAATCCTGTATGGATGGAGTGAGGTCCACCCTGGAACACCATTGGTGATTGCAGTACAAGGAATTATGGAATGACCTCAGTTATTCAGAACCTCCTTGTTTCACCTTAGATGCTTATTTTTAGCTATATCTATAGACTGGGGTGGGTCACCTGGTGGTGCAGTGGGTTAAACCACTGAGCTGCTGAACTTGCTGACTGAAAGGTTGGTGGTTCAAATCTGGGGAGCGGGGTGAGCTTCTATTTTTAGCTCCAGCTTCCACCAACCTAGCAGTTTGAAAATATGTGAGTAGATCAATAGATGCTGCTTCTGTGGGAAGGTAATGGCGCTCCATGCAGTCATGCTGGCAGCATGACTTTGGAGATGTCTACGGACAACGCTGGCTCTTTGGCTTAGAAATGGAGATGAGCACCAGCCCCCAGAGTCAGACACGACTAGACTTAACGTCAAGAGAAACCTTTACCTTTACCTTATAGACTGGGGTGGGTAAAGTATAGCCTATGGGTTGCAAGTGGTACCTGAACATCACCTTTGTAAATCTGAAGCTACGCCTCCATCCACCAAAGCCTCCCAAACCCTCCAATTAACAAAAATGCTGTTATTGTCAAGGCAATTTCTGCCTGTAAATTGAGCCAATTCTCAGCAAGCATGAAAATGAACAAGTGAACTACACCTACCACTCACAGAGTCCCTCATTTCTTTTTTATTCTGTATTCTAGCCAAAATGGTGACCAATCAATCAATCTTTATTTATATCCCACCCCAACTCCCCATGGGGACTCGGGGCAGCTTACAACATGAAATAACGAACAATAAATTAAGCAAAACAAATGAACAATGTAAACATTCAATTGTAAAAATAAATAATAATAATAAACCAATAAAACACATTATGCAGCAGCAATAAATGGGGTTAAAAGCAATATCCATAGTTAAAAAGCCATATCCAGACTCAAAAGCCATATCCATAAAGCAGTCCTTATTTGGCAAGCCAGATGTTCACATATTTAGCTTTACATATGCCTGGGAGCATAAGTAAGTTTTGAATCACTTTCTAAAAGAGGACAACACAAGGGCTGTTCTAATCTAGTTCTAATGTTGGTCAAAAAGCCTTGCCTGAAGAAGCTGCTCAGCTGGGGAATAAGAGGGGATTCCCCTCCCCCAACCGACTCTTGTAGAGTTGTCTAGTCCTGCTGTAGCTGTTCCACATGCATGTGAACATGGATTTGACTGTTTAGAATGATTGTAACCTCTTTGGACAGAGACCCAAAACCTTTGGTTATGCTATCTTGCAAAGTGCTACTGCACACTGAGATTTCTTTCAGGGTCATCTATCTATCTATCTATCTATCTATCTATCTATCTATCTATCTATCTATCTATCTATCTTGATATTGTACTATGTTAATAATATATTGTATGTATATATACCTTGTAAGCCGCTCTGAGTCCCCTTCGGGGTGAGAAGGGCGGCATATAAATGTCGTAAATAAATAAATAAAAATATCTATCTATCTATCTATCTATCTATCTATCTATCTATCTATCTATCTATCCATCATTCCCATGTTACAAGGTAATATACCTTTAGTCCTGCTAAATGATGGTTTGTCATTTTACTTCTAATCTCAGAAGGCCTTTATCTTCTTATTATCATCTATAAGAATGCATAAAACAATAATGTAGTTCTCGTTTCCAAGTGCTAGAGGTTTGTGTCTGTGTGTGTGTGTGTGTGTGTGTTAGGAGCGACTTTAGAAACTACATGTTGCTTCTGGTGTGAGAGAATTAGCCGTCTGCAAGGACTCTGCCCAGGGGACACATGGATTCTTTTTGATGTTTTACCATTCTTGTGGGAGGCTTCTCTCATTCCCTGCATGGGGAGCTGGAGCTGACAGAGGGAGCTCATCCATGCTCTCCCCAGATTCGAATTTCCAACCTGTCAATCTTCAGTCCTGCCCACCTGCCAGCACAGGGGGTTTAACCCATTGCACTACTGGGGGCTCCAGTGCTAGAGGTGTGAAATCTTTTCAAGCCATGGCTGTTAATACAAATTGAGTAGCCCTTATCCAAAATCCTTGGGACCAAAATCATTTTGGGTTTCAAATTTGTTTTTAGATTTTGGAATTAAATTTTTTGAATTTGCACACATAATGAGATGAGAGTCAAGTCTAAACATGAAACCCGTTTGTGTTTTATGTACATCTTATACACTTGACCTAACAGTAGTTCTATACAATATTTTAAAACACTTTAATGCATGAAACAAAGATTATGTACATTGAACCGTTACAAAGCAAAGATATTAGGATCACAGCCACCCATGCGAACAATTTTTGATTTGAGGATTCCAGATAAGGGATGCTCAGCATGTAATAAGGAATGTCAGGGCCCTACTCATTCATTCTACCAGAAATCTAATCAGCATTCTTCTAAAGCGAACACTGATGCATATGACCTGTCTCATCAGACCTCTTAATTATTTCCTGATGATTAGCATATATGGCACTGGCTTTACCTTGGATAGTTCCAAATCGGCTTGTTTTCACAAATGTGATACCTTCCCCAGGTCTCAAAACACCCTCGCTGAATTACTGTTCAGCCACCTCTCCCTTTCTTTCCAAACTGCAGTCTATGTAAAATGCCTGAACAGATTTTATGAGTCCAGTAATCTGGGATTTTTGATGCTTACAGTGAGCTGGACATGAAGTGAAGGAAATATTTTAGCATATTTTTTTGAAACCAATTTACACAATGATCTACAAAATGCAGCTGAACATTTATTTCTGTTTGTGAAGTTTGGAAGAGGGACATGGTATTTGAAGATCTGTCAATGCAACTTTGGGTACACTTGGCAGATTAATGCATGGAACAGCATTAGACAAGGAGGTATGCTAAAATGTTTTCATTGCAAAATTGCACTGCAGATAAATGCAGGTTTGGAAAACCAGGTAGCATTTCAGACTCTGTTCAGGTAAATGCAGCAGTGCCCCTATTCATGCCAGTGAACAGCTGGAATAGAATTGACTCTAAATCATCCACTCTGCTGATGGAGAGATGAAGAGGGTTTTTTTTTTCCAGTGTCAAGCTTTTCGACAATCCATATTGCTCATTGTATTGGCTTGGATTACAAGATTTTTGGAGGAAATTTATTACGCATTTTTGCATAGTGTGTTTGTCTACCTGTCATGGACTTAGGCTGTGGTAAATTTGAAGGGGCCAAGAAAACCCTGTGATAAGTTCACTTTGCTATAGGTCGGAAATGACTTGAAGACACACAATGGCAGTATATGTACATATCATCCCCTGTCATAGGAAGTAAGAGGTTTTATTCTGAAGAAATATGTTTTACTCTAAAGTAAAGTGAGACTGACTGAAAGATGTTTGTGGTATAAACTTCCTGTCTCTTAGGCAATCCCTCATAGCTCAAGGATGATGGTCCTCCAAGTTTGGTATCTTGGTGGTGGGTTCACAGGTAGCTGTGGAGCCCTTTTCTTGATTTGCATGTTCTTGCACAGTGAGGACATCGGTTTCCAGGTGGAAGGTGGTCCTGGTCAGGGTTGGTTTGACACACCTTCCGCTTGGCACATTTCTCCCTTTCGCCCTCCATTCCTGCCTCTTCGAATTCTGCAGCACTGCTGGTCACAGTTGACCTCCAGTTAGAGCGCTCAAGGGCCAGGACTTTCCAGTTCTCGCCGTCTATGCCACAGTTTTTAAGGTTGGCTTTAAGCCCATATTTAAATCTCTTTTCCTGTCCATCAACTTTACATTTCCTGTTCTAGAGTTGGGAGTATAGTAACTGTTTTGGGAGACTGTGATTGGGCATTTGGATAATGTGACCAGTCCAGTGGAGTTGATGGCATAGGTATTTTTGCTTCTTCCAGCATGTTGACATTTGTCTGCCTGGCTTCCCAAAAGATTTGCAGGATTTTTCAGAGGCAGCACTGATGGAATAATTCCAGGAGTTGAGTGTGACATTTGTAGACCACATTTCACAGGCATATAGCAGGGTTGGGAGGACAATAGCTTTATAAACAAACATTTTGGTCTCCCTACATATGTCCCAATTCTCAAACACTCTCTTCTTCATTTGGAAAAATGCTGCATTTGCAGAGCTCAGGCGGTGTTGTATTTCAGTATTTCAGTATCAGTGTTGACTTTTGTGGAGAGGTAGTTGCGAAGGTAGCAGAAATGGTCAACATTTTCTAATGTTGCACCATGAAGCTGTATTTCTAGCATTGTAGAGGGATTGGCTGATGATTGGTTTTCTCGATGTTCAGTGACAGGCTGAGCTTCTTGTATGTTTCTGCAAAGGCGTTTAGAGTGACTTGTAGGTCTTCTTCTGAATGTGCACAGACTACATTGTCATTAGCATATTGGAGTTCTATAACAGATGTTGTTGTGACCTTGGTTTTGGCTCTCAGTCTGCCGTGGTTAAATAGCTTGCTATCTGTCCGATAGATAATTTCCACTCCAGTGGAAAGCTTCCCATCAACAAGTTGAAGTATCATAGTGATGAAGCTGGAGAATAAGGTTGGGGCAATAACACATCCCTGTAGACTGAGGTTATTTCAACAGATGCAAATACAAGTGCAAATGAAGTGCAATGAAGCTGTCAGGGGGAACAAAAGCCATTGGTCTCGAATGCTACTTCCTCCTTAAAATGAAGACCTGGGGAACTGAAACAAGTAGAAAGGATAATATGCATTGCATATTTGCTGCTGTTATTTGCTTTTAAGCAATTTCTGACTTATGGTGACCCTAATGTGAATGTATCACAGAGTTTTTTGGGGGGTGGGGTGGGGGTGATAGCATGTAACTCACTCGAGGCCATTTAGTTGGTTTCCATGTCCCAGTGGGGAATTGAACCCTGGATCTAGAGTTATAGTCTAAGGGCCCTTCCACACTACCACTTTATTCCAGGATATAATCCCAGATTATCTGTTTATCCCAGATTATCTGATAGTGGGGACTCATATATTCCAGTTTAAAGCAGATAATCTGGGATCAGATCCTGGGATATAGGGCAGTGTGGAAGAATCCTAACAAACATATTGGCTGAGCTCCTATAGTTTTAGAGGCCCTGCTGTCATATTAGGTATCTATTTCTATGTATAGGTAGTCCTCAAGTGACAAACAAGATAGGTTATGTAGGGTGTTCTTAAACTCAATTAGTTTATAAGTCAGAATAGGTACATTTTTAAGTGTAACTCTTGCCAAAAAAGTATTTTTAGCTTTGGATAACATAGGAAAGGGTTAACACTCCTGTAGTGTTTGTTTTGCTGTCTGTGCCCCTATTCAGATATTTCATCTCACTTTCTGTCCCTGTGTTAATTGGATTTTGAAAAATTTGGCTTGTAGAAACAAGGATTGAAATAAAGCTTCAGCTGAGACACCTTTCCCTCCATGATAACTTGTTCAGGAGTGAATTTCCCTTCTGAGGGGTAGATTTCTCTCACTTCCTGTTGTCTCACTCCCGTTCTTAAGTATAAGTTGTTTGCTAATTGGATGTTTGTAACTCAGGGACTGCCTGTATTTTAAAAATATTTCCATGTTTATATTTTAATGGTTATATGCATTAGGCTTTAATTTACACATTGTTACAGTTTTTAGTGTTTAGCCACTTTATTTATTTATTTACCCTATTTATACCCTACCTTTCTCTACTCCAAGGGAAACTCAAAGTGGCTTACATATGGCAATTGTTCAATGCCTTAAACACATACAGACATTGAGCTTAAAATCAACTGAATTAAAATTAATACATTTTAAACATTTTAAAATGACATTCAAAATTAAAATCACACCATCCAAAAATCGTAGTCAAAGTCCGTTCTGTAGTCATTGCACATATTCCAATTATATTGCACTGCACTATTCTTCAAAAGCCTGATCCCAGAGCCAGGTTTTTACTCTCCTTCTGGAGCTTTTTTGTTGAGTTCCAGGGCCAGAGAAACAGATGGCGGAAACAGAAGAACAGTCCGCCTCAGGGGAGCGTGCTCACTCCATCCATGTTCAACATCTACACAAATGACCAGCCACTGCCAGAAGGGACAGAGAGTTTCATCTATGCAGATGATCGTGCCATTACCGCTCAAGCAGGGAGCTTTGAGATGGTTGAACAGAAGCTCTCCGAAGCTCTAGGTGCTCTTACTGCCTATTACAGGGAAAACCTGCTGATCCCTAATCCATCTAAAACAAGGACATGTGCCTTTTACCTTAAGAACAGACAAGCATCCTGAGCTCTGAGGATTACCTGGGAAGGAATCCCACTGGAGCATTGCAGCACACCCAAATACCTGGGAGTCACTCTGGACCATGCTCTGACCTACAAGAAGCACTGCCTGAATATCAAGCAAAAAGTGGGTGCTAAAAACAATATCATACGAAAGCTGACTGGCACAACCTGGAGATCACAACCAGACACAGTGAAGACATCTACCCTTGCGCTATGCTACTCTGCTGCTGAGTATGCATGCCCAAGGTAGAACACATCTCACCACACTAAAACAGTGGATGTGGCTCTTAATGAGACATGCCGCATTATCACGGGGTGTCTGCGCCCTACACTACTGGAGAAATTACACTATCTAGCCAGTATTGCACCACCTGACATCCGCAGGGAAGTAGCAGCCAATAGTGAAAGGACCAAGGCAGAGACATCTCCAGCTCACCCCTTGTTTGGCTATCAGCCAGCAAGTCAACAACTTAAATCAAGAAATAGTTTTCTAAGATCTACAGAGACACTCATTGGAACACCTCAGCAAGCGAGAGTCCAAAAGTGGCAGGCTCAAACCCAGAACCTCAACCAATGGCTGATACCAAATGAGAGATTCCCCCCTGGGCACACAGAAGACTGGGCGACTTGGAAGGCACTGAACAGACTGCGCTCTGGCACCACGAGATGCGCAGCACATCAATCCATCTCAGGAGGAAAAAGGGCCTGAGGCTGTTAGGAATGGAGGGAGTTGGAGTCCAAAACACCTGGAGGGCCCAAGTTGGCCCATGCCTGCTGTATATGCATGTGTGTGTGTGTGTGTATATATATATATATATGCATACTATATAATGGTTAAAATGGCAGTGTATGCACAGCACATCTATCTATCCCAGGAGGAGGCAGCAACAGTGCTTGTCAGAATCCCCCCCCCCCCACCGGCAATCCCGTTTAGCAGCAACGCCTGATAGCCCCAGGATGATTGGATGGGGGGGGGGGGGAAGCAGGAAATGAGCGACGCGAGTTGTGCTTTCCTTGGCTTTGTCGGCTCCGCCTCCCCGCGTCCCTCCGAGTCGGAGCCAGAGCCAAAGCCGGGCCCTCCATCGCGGGGGACGCCCTGGGAGGATGCGGCGCCCACGAAGGCAGTCAGGCAGCCCGCCCCCTCCCCTCCCCTCCCCTCCCTTCGTGATGGAGCGCTTGGGCCAGGGAGGAGGGGAAGGAGGAGGAGGAGGAGGGCGAGCGAGGCGAGGCGAAGCGGCTGCCCGCTGAAAGGCTAGGGCTGGCGAAGGGGTGGGCTGCGAGCGCGACGCTAGTGCCGGCCCCGCTCCCCTCCGCCTCCAAACGCGGGCTTCAGCACCAAGGAGAGCGCCCAACCCGCCGCTGAGCCCCCCTCCCCGGCAATAGCAGCAGCAGCAGCAGCATTAGAACGCAGCATTAGAACGCGTCGCTGCTTCCATCTTCTCGGCTCCCGCTCGCCTCCTTCAGCACCAGGGACAGCGCCTCCAGGACGGATCCTCGGGAAACCCCCCGCCTGCGCCTCCTCCTCCTCCTCCTCCTCCTCCTCCTGGATCCGCTTCGGATCAGCGCCCAGGCTGGCACGACATGGCAACCGAGGTGAGCGCCCTGTCTCTCAAGTCCTGTCTCTCAGGACATCTCCGTTCAAGCTCCCTTGGCTCTCCCCCGATGCGGCAGGATACCCCAAATCAATGATACCCAAACCCCCTCTCCTGGCCCTGTTCCGATTTCCCCGCAGCCTCTGCAGCTAAAGGAAGGCAGAGGTGAGGAAACCTGGAGGAATAGGGATCCAGAAAGGCCGCTGTTTACTCTCCTCGCTTGGTAGTAAACTGCAGAGACATGAAGAGAGGAAGGGAGCCTCTCCTTGGGTTCCCCCTGAACGCATAGGAAGAGGAGGTCGCAGGGATGGAGGGTGGCCAGCCAAAGAGGACTGGGGTCGAGAGGGAGGCAGCTTCCCTTCTGCAGACCCAGATTGCGCCTTGCCTGCGCCTTGGAGGAAGGAGGAGGAGGAGAAGGAAGGAGGACACCTGTGGCGTGGCTCTCTCTTTGGCGAGGGCCCATCGCTCAGGGAACTGCATTCCTTTGACAGTGTAGATGCCTCCCTTTAAGATTCAGTGAGTCCTCTCGAGTTGGCATGAATTATGTATTCGCCCAGAGTCGCCACTAGCGCAGCCAGCCCAAAGCCCGGGACCCCTCAACTGCCTTTAAGGAGAAGAGCTCACATTGCTATTGAGCAGGTTGTTATTCCTTTCCCCTGTTTGCAGTGACCCTCCTTTAAATGTATCAAGACTCCTTGCGGGTATGTCTTTGGCCGGTTTGAAGAAGCAAGCCGTTTTATGTGTTGTCGAAGGCTTTCATGGCCGGAATTGCTGTGAGTTTTCTGGCTAGGTTACAGAAGCATTGTCTCCTGACATTTCACCCACATCTATGGCAGGCATCCTCAGAGGTTGTGAGGTCTGTTGGAAACTAGGAAAATGGAGTTTATATATCTGTGGAATGTCCAGGGTGAGAGAAAGAACTCCTGTCTGCTTGAGGCAAGTGTGAATGTTGCAATTGGCCACCTTCATTAGCATTGAATGGCCTTGCAGCTTCAAAGCCTGGCTGCCTCCTGCCTGAGAAGATCCTATGTTGGGAGGTGTTAGCTGGCCCTGGTTGTCTGGAATTCCCATGTTTTTGAGTGTTGTTGTTTAATGTCGTGATTTTAAAGTTTTTAAAAAAAATACTGGTAGCCAGATGTTGTTCATTTTCGTGGTTTCCTCCTTTCTGTTGAAATTGTCCACATGCTTGTAGTCTGACATGGTGGTTGTTAGAGTGGTCAAGCACTTCTGTGTTCTCAAATAATATGCTGTGTCCAAGTTGGTTCATCAAGTGCTCTGCTATGGCCGAATTCTCTGGTTGAGTGAGTCTGCAGTGCCTTTCATGTTCCTTGATTCCTGTTTGGCAGGAAAAAGTCAGCCCTTGGAGCTGCAAGGCTATTCAATGCTAATTAAGCTGGCCAATTGCAAAATTCGCACTTGTCAGGTAGACAAGAGTTCTTTCTCCCACCCTGAACATTCCATAGATATATAAACCCCACTTGCCTAATTTCCAACAGACTTCACGACCTTTGAGGATGCCTGCCATAGATGTGGGTGAAATGTCAGGAGAGAATGCTTCTGGGACATGGCCACACAGCCCTGAAAACTCACAGCAACCAAGCTATTTTAGATTTTCTATGTGTGTTGTTTGCTTTAGTTGTTTGGCACAATCACTGCCTTCTGTGTGTGTGTGTTTCCCTCCCTTCTTATTCATAAATGGCTTTGTAGTTCCGGATTTAATGACTGTGTACTTCAACTGTTTTATGTTAATAGCTTGGAGCTACGACAGCAAATTGACTTACTGTAAAGGTTCTTAAAAGCACCATGTGGGCAGTGCAGCTTATTCCCAAGCAAAAGGGCACAGAAGGGAGGCTGCAGGCAGGCAGCCTTGATTATTCCTGGAAAAGTTCAAGTACAATCACAGTGTCAATACCTCTTAGTGCCTGATCTTTTAGTACATTTCTGATTCATGATCCCTAGGGAGGTTCAGTTACACAGCACCCTTGGTCGTCCAGTTTTTCCAGGAGGGTTCAAACCAGCTCATCTCGCCTTAACCTGTTTTGGGTCAGGGTCACGACCCTGTGCCCCCATCAGTCCATTGATTACCCCAGCTAGAATAGATCGACTAAAATAAATGGAAACTTACTAAATCAATTCTCATATAAGTTGATACTGGTGCATCTACACCAGGCCTGGGTAAACTTGGGCCCTCCAGGTTTTTTGGACTTCAACTCCCATAATTTCTAACATCCTCAGGCCCCTTCCTTTTCACTTAAGCAGCTGAGGAGGAAAAGGAAAGGGCCTGAGGCTGTTAGGAATTGTGAGAGTTGAATTCCAGAACACCTGGAGGGCCCAAGTTTGCCCATGCCTGATCTACACTGTAGAAAAAAGCAGTTTGACACTCCTTTAACTTCCATAGTTCAATACCAAGAAATCCCGAGACATTAATGCAGTGTGACTTCCAGGATTTCATAGCATTGAGCCAGGGCAGCTAAAGTGGCATCAATCTGCATTGATTCGACAGTATAGACACAACCCAGGATTCAGTGAGTCTCCTGTAGTCTTGGATGAAGTCTTGGATCTGAGCCATTGCTTGCTGTGGGGATCAAATTAGAGGAAGGGGCGAGTTTGCCAGGAGCTCTGCCTCTAAAAGGGCCACAGCCCAGGATCCCCCAAAGTTCATTCTTGAGATTCTTGCCTCATAGGCTGCATCTATACCAGACATGGCCAAACTTGGGACGTCCAGTGTTTTGGACTTCAACTCCCACCATTCCTAGAAGCCTCAGGAACCAAGTTTGCTCATGTCTGATCTGTACTGTATACTTAATGCAGTTTGGTGTCACTTGAACTGTTATGGCTCAATGCTATGGAGTCATGAGAGTTGTAGTTTAGTTAGGCACAAGCACTCCTGGGTAGGGGTAGCTAAATACTTGTAAAACTACAATTCCCAGAAGTCCAAAATATTGAGCCATGGCAGTTCAGGTGATGTCAAGCTGCATTAATTCTACAATGTGGGTGCAGCCCCATCCCTGTGTGCTGTCCTCACCCCCTGCTATACCAATCGAGCCAGGAAAGGCTTTCCACTCTCCCCTCCCCTCCCCTCCCCTCCCACAATAAGACCCAGTCTGATATACCATTGTTGTCATGCTGCTGAGGCCAAGGCGGGATGGAGTCCTGAGCAGGCGGAGGAGGACTGAGACGCAGAGGAAAGAGCCAATGTATGGATGGTTACTAGGGGGAGGAAGGGCTTGGGACTCAAAATATGGAGGGGACACACCAAGGAAGCAACTCTGCCAAAGTCACAGCAAATCCCCCTTTCCTGGCATTGATTTTGAAGGAACGAAGCTCCTGAGTGCAAATTGTCCTGCTCAAGCAGGGAGCATTCCCAGCAGGCCCAAGAATTCTAGGGGGAGGTCCTATACAAATTTATTCCCTTCCCAATAATCAAGGGTGCATCTACACTGTAGAATTAATGCAGTTTGATACCACTTGAACTGCCTGTGGCTCAGTGCTATGGAATCAATGGAGTTGTAGTTTTATAAGGTCTTTAGCCTTCTTTGCCAAAGAGTGCTGATGTGTCACCAAACTACAATGCCCATGTTTCCATAGCTGTGAGCCATGGCAGTTCAAGTGGTGTCCAGCTGCATTATTTCTACAGTGTCGATGCACTCAAAGACACCAGTCTTTCCCTAGTGGGACACAAGGCATCTTTCAACACAATCAAAATATTCAGAATAAAATGACACAAAATAGCATAACATATTCTAAAAAAGCATATGGATTTTTTTTAAAAAAAGAATAAAATATCATAAAACCTCTCCTGCTTACATGGTTTGGTGTGTCTTCACGTTGCTTCCAACTTACCTTCAGCGATCTTCATGGCATGATTTGTTCAGAGGAGATTTGCCCTTGTCTTCCTCTGAGGATGAGAGTGTGTGACTTTAGCAAGGTCACCCTATGGGTTTCTATGACCGAATTGAAATTCGGTTCTTGGTTTCAAAGAGTCATGATCCAGTGCTCAAAACATGGCAGTTATCATAATAATAATTAGGAACATGAATAAAATAAAAATAGAAAAATATAATGAATTAGAAAAAAGATGATATTAAGATGGTATAGAACTCCTGAACAATTGGCTTATATGGTAAAAGGAAAGAATATGAAGTGTTGGCATTGTAATAAAGAAAAAGGCATCAATAAATACATAGAGAACTGACTTTGAATACTAAAAAGATTTAGTGACTCACAAAAGTACAATATTCATTAATAGTTTATTTTCCATAGCATTTAGCCCAGGCATGGGCAAACTTTTGCTCTCCAGGTGTTTTGGAGTTAAGCATCTGAGGGGGAAAAGTAAAGAGCCTGAGGCTGTTAGAAATTGTTGACATCCAAAACACCTGGAGGGCCCAAGTTTGCCTATGCTTGCTTTAGCCACAGCTTCCAGTTTGCACATTAGACAATTAAATAATAAATTGTCACTGTGCACTGTGGCAGCCTTCTTTACAACCTCTGAGGATGCCTGTCACAGATTCAGGTGAAACGTCAGGAGAGAATGCTTATAGAACATGGTCATACAGCCCAAAAAACCTACAACAACCCAAATAATAAATAATTGATGTCATACAACATAGTCAATCAAGATTAAAAATAGACATCGTGGTAGTGAATATATATATACACACACCACTACATATTTTATAGTGAAAATATGTAAACCTTCAATAATTATTTCCACAAAAATATTTTTAAATGAATTGGTACAACTTGGACATTGTGAAGTAAGTTTTACTCCCCCATAGCTTCTGGTTCTATTTTTTCTGCTCTCATGGAGTCAAAGAAGATGTGATAATTTTAATGATGCAGTGAAAAGGTATTCAGTGCATCATTAAACCATTCTTCCATATCCAATCCTAAATTATTCCTCTTTTTTTGAAATTGCAGTGGCTGATGGTACAATTATGATATTGATAATCTCCTGGTGTTTAATTTGATCAGCTCAGTAACCCCACAGAAACATCATTA